ATATTTTATTCACAGTATTCCGGAGGGATTACATGTGGCAAAAATCTATCATTAAAGATTGGATTGTTTCTTCTTCATTCTTCTATTGGTAAATCATATTTGAAATTTTATTCAGAATTTAAATAGGGAAAATTTAAATCATTAAACTATTGAGTGTTTATTTTGAATTTATTGGGAATAAATTTGTGTATGTCAATCACAGTTTTTTAAAAATAAAGCTCGATATTTTGTAAGTATAATCATTGTTAAACTATTTAAATCAAGTCTTCCCCCATTAAGTTTACTCCTTATGGTGCAACTAATTTTTATTTTATTTTTTGCAAACATCAAAAGATAATATTCTCATTTAATAATGAGAAAATTCTATTAAACCTTACATTTTAATTTTTAATTTCAAAAATCATATACTAATTTTTTGATTAAAAAATCAAGTTATGACTTTTTTAATTTAGCCCTTGTTTCGGCTAAATTTTAATTTAATGCATTCTTCTCTTTCTCTATTTTCAACAACACATTTTTCAATAAAATTATATTGCATGTAAACCTTTTTTTTGATATTTTAGTATACATTCTTCATAATATTATTATCCTAAAATACATTTGTCCCAAAACCTCATTAAAATAGAGCCAAAACAATGGCTTAAAAACATGTTATACACACTCATTTGTAATCGAACACAATGCCCTACCAATCGTCAGCAAATATCTTCTTTCGCTTCTTGGTCATTCTTTTCGTGGAAACACATCTCTCTTCAAAAATAGAAATTGCAGCATTAATGGTAGTGAGTTTCCTGGAAAGGACACAAGTTTCACTGCCGTGGTAACTGAGTTTGCCATCAGGATAACGAGGGAAAATCTGGTCGTCGTAGCTACAAAGATACTTAGTGGTGATGGGTTTTACACTGTCGTGGTGGTGCGGTTGATGTTGTGGTGTGCTAGTGACCTTGTAGTGATGGGTTGCAATGTCATATTTGATTGTAGTGGTATAATGGATGTACAGATCTGCGTGGTGGTGGGGTAGCTGAAGAGCTATTGTGACCCATTATTTGAATGATGTGATCAATAAAATGAGTAATTTGTGACCAATAAATAATACACTAAGAAAAAATAAAATGATAGTTCAATCTATTTGTTGGTAACTTATAAAAAATAAAATATAAAGCTTTGTCAATACCAATGACTCCGTGTACAGGATCTGTAAACGAAATACTATCAACAAGTGTACAATATTACCTTTGATAATCGATGACAAATATTCATTAATATTGTTGTTGGTAACTCTGTTCAAAGTTTAGACATATTTTAATTTCCATCATAATCGTTGACCATAAATTGTTGATGATCAAAGATAAATTTTCCATCAATGATTATTTGTTCCATTAACTATTATATTCTAAATATCATATTAACTGAGAATCCTTTTTTTGGATGATTCTAACACTACTATAATTCAATTATTCCAATAATATTATACTTTTCATCTTTCAATATATATTTAATTTATTTAATCATTTAGTTATCATCAATGTACACATATATTTGACAGATTTATTTCACATGTGTACTTTCATTAATGTATGAATTCCTTATTATTAATTTTCAATAATTAACATTAACATACACATTCATTAAATTATTATTCATTTTCATTTATGCATTTCTGTGTTATTATTTTTAATTATAAGTTAATTAGAATTTCACATTCAAGAATTCATTTCATTATCCACGTTCATATATGCTAATTGATATCCAACTTTTACTTAATTGAAATTAAATATCACATCAAGTAAGAATCAATTTTAGAACTATTTTAGCTTTGCTATAATTCCATTATTTTAATAATACATTAGTTTTCATATTTCAAGTTGCATTTAATTTATTTAAACCATTAGTTACCATAAATGTACATGTACATTTGACAAATTCATTTCACTTATATTCTCTCGTTAATATATGAATTCTTTATTATTAATTATAAATTCGTTAACATTCAAATTCATTTAATTAATATTCATTTTCATTTATGCATTTCAATGTTATTAACTCTAATTATAAGTTAATTAGATTTTTACATTTAAGAATGCATTTTACTATTCACATTTATGTATGATAATTAACATTCAATTTTACTTAATGAAAATTAAATAGATAATTTAATGATCATTGTCATGTATATATTCCTTAGTATAAATTCTAAATTAATTAACATTCACGCATATTCAAATATTACTTTTACAGCATTTATAAAGCATTTCATAATAACATGCAACGTACGTTCAACGTCGACTAGTACTAACAAAAATATACATATCAAATAAATAAATAAGAAATCCAAGAGGTTAAGCTGTGTTTGGATCTTGGCTTTGCCGCGCTCCATGTTTTCGAATCAAATGATTGCTCTAGAATGGAATGTTTGATCTCGCCTTGTCTATTGTAGGCCTTTTACAAATCTTTTCATAACTTTGGCATAGAATCAAGTCATTATCCCACTCCTTTTAAATACTAAAGCAGTAAAAAAATCAAATACTAATGGAAATTCCATCACGAATAATAAATTTAAAGAATATTTTATTTCCTAGTAATATTATACTATAAAAAATTGATATTTGAACTTAATCGTCGACAGTTTATAAAATAAAAAATATAAAAAGAAAAAAATTTGCATGTCTTACAAAAGAACTATCAGATGTTGCCAACACCAAGAACACATTTTCGTTGACAATCATCAATGGAGGTAATTCGGTAATCACTAACAAATAATGATTTTTATTAAAATCTTAGATAGTGCATGCCTTAAAAGCTTAAATGCCTAGTGTTTATTTATACAGACTCAAAATATGTGGCAAGGGTGGATTCACAACCTTCTTTTGTTATACAATAATGCTGTTTTATCAGGTTAGAACCCTTACCAACCGCGGACCCACCTGCATAAAAAATTGCCAAAAACCTCACCCACCCCATGCTGTGAGTGTGATAGATCCAAACCAGAATAGAAGTTTTATTATGAGAATTTAACCACCAAACAGTGATTACAAGAGGAACGAACTTGTGATCCGGGAAGCAGATTCTTTATACAAAAAAATGGAAAAAAATAACAAGATTAATGGACATTCAAGATGCCCACACTCTCCTAAGGAATCTCCCAATTTCTGAATGTTGATAACGTGATTATTCCCCTTATTTATACTGCAATTGGTGCTGTAATTATGCAATTGGTCTGCAATTGTGCCCATTGCCCTTGATCTTTGCTTGCGCCTTTGGTGTGTTGTGTGGATTGAGGGTCTATTAGAGTGCTCGGTAGGGTTTCCGTGAACCCAAGTGCTCCCTACAACACCTACCATGTACTCCAAGAATAATTGTTTGTTATGTTTGTTAGTTAACCATTAAACCCGTACCTAGTGGATGCAGTACAAGACTTCTTTGGTGGTAAGATCTTCCCGAGAGGTATCACAACTATTGCACTAGTACTAATTCTGGAAAGGTTATGATGATGCCTATTAGTCTATGTAATGTTACGTAACAAATATCTGCCCCTATTAATCTCCCATAACCAAAGTGGTTTCCCACCCGGTAGACGCGTGGGTAACTAACGTTCTTATTGCTCAAGAAATGGTTCATCAGATTGACAGGAATCCTAGAGGAATAAACACAATTTTGAAACTTGATATCACTAGATATAGTCTCCTAAGAATTCTTAGGACTCATTTGATATATGTTTTACTTTTGCTTTCTGTTAAAGAGTTTTTGAAGGAAATTATCCTGATTTTTGAAAACACTTCCGATTTCGAAAGCGCTTTTAGAGAAAGTCACATTCGACCAACTTTCTCTAACAACCTTTTTAGCTAAAAGAAGCACTTTCATAAAATTAATCAAACGAATCTAGAAACAATTTTTAGATCTCAAAAGCTCATTTTAAATTCCAAAGTTTGTCAAATGAACCCATGATCTAAGTATTAGAGAGGTTTGACTTTAAAGGACGCAATAGCTTGCGAAATTTTAAAGTGTTAATTTCTTAAGGAGTCGTGAACTTCATGCAAGTGTAATGGCCATGTCTTCACTATTCTATTTGTTGTACCCATATTCTCAATTGTGCATGTGGTATTTCCACATAACAGAAAACCTCTATTTAGACTTTAAATGGTCATGCGACACGCACCCGACATCTAACTGAAAGAGTAAAATTATCAAAAATAAAAAATAAAAGTCCAAGGAACTTGAATACTAACCCTAAAGGAATTTATATCCCAAATTCAAGACAAAGATGACTGGGAATTTTGCTGAATTAGTTACGCTGTCAAAGTGAACATTAAACCTGAAATACTTGTCAAGGCAAAAAATTCTTACCCCTGTTTGATCTGGATTAAAATCTCAAATTAAAGTCAACGATTAATTTTACCTACCCACAACTTTTTTCAAAATCTACTAAAATCTGATTTTAATTTATACCAAATAGTGGCTTAAAGAATACTTGTCATTTCCTTGGAGTTATAGCTAAAAATTGACTAATGTATGAAGAAATACATTAGATGGCAATCATGCTTGATGTACACAAAATTTGACAGTTTGCCACATTTATCCTGTCATTTGATAAATGTGGCAAACTGTCATTCCACAACTTAAAAAAATAAAAATAAAAATAGAAACAGTTTTTCCGTCCTAGCATTTGTGGAGTAACAAAGGAAATGTCAACATTGATATAATTTAAGAAAGTACAAATGGCAAAATTCTTTAGATGGAGCTCTGGCAGGTCATTCTTATGCTTTAGCACATTGATCACAGCACAAAATACTCAAAGTGAGTCGATCATTCAAGCTGCAGATATTCTCAAGAGTTTCTTGTGATTTGTTTGAACTTGATCTGCTCAACCGATGAACTTATATTTTTCGATTACAATAGTATGATATTATTGTGAAACATGCCGGTATCACATATTCCTTTTCAGGAAGAGCTTATATTTCTGGAAGTGTTCAAAAGTGACAACCCAAAAAGAACATCGAAAGAGCCTATAAAAACGAGAAATCGTAGATTCATTTATAGAACAAATATGCATATAGAGTTTCAACACATGAGATCGAAGTGAATATTGCATAAACTTTCGACTAAAACTTCACGATAAGTCGTAATAGTAATTACCGGATATAAACTTATGGAACTCTAGGAGAGATTCGAGCTCGCAATGGATTCTTCATGACAGTGGTGAACTCTTGCTTCTCGGACAGATCAATATCGTCTCCATCAAGGGCTGTCCATTTAAAGTACCAAATCAGATTGGCAACAAAGTACTCCAAGTGAAGCAGAGCCAGAGCCCACCCGGGACATATTCTCCTCCCTGCACCAAATGGCATCATCTTGATCTCCCTACTCCCCGTTACATCAAAAGCCTCCCCACCATCTGCTAAGAACCTTTCGGGATTGAATTCCATCGGATCCTCCCACACTTTTGGATCCAAACCCATGTCGGCCACCATGAAATTCACAAGCCCGTTCTTCGGGATCACATAACCATCCAATTCAACTTCCTCTGTGACCCGATGGGGCAACACGAAGTGCCCTGGCGGGTGACGCCTCAATGCTTCTAACACGACAGCCTTCAAGTATGGCATCTTCTGTAAATCCTCCTCCTCTACCATTTGCTGCATGCTTGACTCTTTGTTACTAGACATTGCCATTGCTGGAGGCAGTCCCACGACTTCAATTATCTCATCGTAAAGCTTGGATTGAATCTCGGAGTGTTTAACCAAGTTAGCCAGGATCCACTGCAGAGCCGTGGCTGTGGTATCGGTGCCTGCACTAAGAAATTCACTGCATAGACTCACCATTTCCCTCTCATCTAGCTTTCTGTTTTCCTCCGGTAGCTTTAAGTCTGCCAGAGAGTCGACATAAGCAACCACTTCGGCCTCTTTCTCTTCACTTTGATTGATAGGCCTTTGTTTGGCTTGGAGACGAGTTCTAATCAGAGGGATATACACGTTTTCCTGTTCTTGGCGTAGTCGAATCAGCTCATTCCAGCGATTACGAAACAAAATTCTCCCTAATCGAGGCCAGAAGTTGAGCGCATTGAATCTACGAAAATTCAAAAGCAATCGCCGCTGTATGGTTTCAATTTCTTTAATTTGATTCTCGTGGAGCTTGTCGCCAAAGCACATGAACACCAACAGACAGAACATAGCGAAATGAAAATGATCGATTATGCTCACAAACGATTCCGACGACTGCGCCACCACAAGCCGCTGAATAAGACCACCAGCCACCCACCCGCGGGACATGGAGTACGACTTCACACGGGAGGGGTGTAAAATCTCATACGTTAAGTTACGGCGGAGGATCCTCCAGGTGGCGCCATAGGCGGCGGAGCTGATGGTGCGCTGGTTGCTCGTCACGATCTTACTCGTCGGCGCGGCACTTGGACGGTCGGAGAAGACGGCACCGTTTTGGACAAGAGCACGGTGAGCGAGGGAGTGACTGCCGATAAATATTAACCTGATACGAGGGCCAATTCTGATGGTGATGAAGGGGCCGTACTTGGTCTTGAACTCGCGGAGGATGAATTCCAGCTCAGAAAGAGACCTGCGCAGCCATACCAAGTTTCCGATCAACGGTACCGAAATGGGTCCTGGCGGAAGGTTCTTCTTGCGGGCACCGGCGATTGAAGAAAATAGCGATTTGAGAAGCGGAAGGATGCATAATAGGGAGACTATGAAGATAAACCAGAAGGACTCCATTTGTTAATATCTCTATAAGAAAATCAGTTTGGAAGTTGAAGTAGATAATGTTTTCTTATAGCCTTATACCACAAGTAATTTTAAAATGGAAGATACAATGACAGAAAAATGATTGATAAATAGCTTGACCAACGCTCACAAAGTAGGAGGAGTCACCTTCTTTTTATATTTTATTATAGTCTATATCCTCGCTTTTGAGTGAAACCTTAACAACCAACCTAGTCTTATACTCAGACTATTGCTTTTGAATTCACCCTATTTGATTTTATAAATCCACATACAACCTATCATTTTTGTTCCATTTGGTTTATTGACTAAGGTCCAGATTTTATTTTTTTAATAAGAAATGCATTTCATTCTTCATAGTTGCAAGCCAGAGGTTTGCATCTTTTCCGCTTACGACCTCTTCATATTAATTAGGCTCAGATTCAAGAAAGTTCTATACATTATATGCAGAATGTTAGAAGTATAACTTAAATAGGAGTCTAAATTGTATTAGATTTCTTACCTTTCTTGGGACTCTTTTAGGGCTAGATTTTATACTATAAATATAAGGCTCTTCTTTCAATATTGTTTAAGCCATTATTGTTGTAATTCTCTCATTTCATTGATGAATAAAATAACATCGTTCCTCTGCCAGTTCTTTTATTTCTTTACTTTAATCTTATTCGTGATTTTTCGTGATCTTTTTAATTACTTTAATTACAACAACTTGTATTCATTAAATCTCGATTCCTGCATTATTGGTCATCGGTCTCAACAAGTGGTATCAGAGCGGGATTGTTGGTGGATTTTTGGCCTGAAACCGATCGGAAAATCGTCTGAAAATTACCAGAAAATCAGAAAACGAATCTGTCCAATTTTTCGATTTTCTACCAAATCTATTTTTGCGTTTTCTGGTCAAACTAGAAAGAATTTGGAGAAACAAACACCACCAGTGGACTCAGCAAGCAGAAAGGGTCCAGAAAGGGTCACAGGTCGTCGATGCGTTTTCCAGCAAGTTGCCGACGGTGGTAACTCCAACGGGCGAGTGGCGGCGCGTGAGACGTTTTTCGACGACGGTGTCTTCAGGCAGTTTTTTTCGGACGACGAGACGGACCTTATGGTGGTGTCCAATTTCAGTTTTGGGCAAAATTGTGGTTCTGGACTATTTTGCCCCTTGCACGTTCGGTAGTTTTCAGTTTTGGGTGTTGCAGGTTGCAAGTTCTTCCTATTTTGATTGAGATTTTTTAGAGATGAATTCGTTGAAATATGAAATTCCGCTATTGAATCGCAATACAAGATTTTCGTTGTGACAAGTAAAGGTGAGAGTTGTGTTGACGCAGATGAATTTTGATGATGCTTTGCTGGGTTTTGATAGGATGCAAGCAAACTTGTCTATGAAGGAGAAACAACGAAAGGATCGGAAGGCTTTAGCGCAAATCCAACTTCATTTATCCAACAATTTGCTGCAAGATGTTTTAAAGGAGAAGACATCGGCTGCTTTGTGGCTCAAGTTGGAGCAGTTGTGCATGACAAAGAGTTTGACGAGCAAACTAACTCTAAAGCAGAGGTCGTATTCTCATCGCATGGCGAAAGGAGGGTCACTGCAAGACCACCTTGCTGTCTTCAAGGAAATCGTTGCAGATTTGGAGACGTTGGAGGTAAAATATGATGAAGAGGATCTAGCCTTAGTCCTGTTGTGTTCGCTACCCAATTCTTTTTCGTCATTTCGTGATACTATTCTGTATAGTCGTGACACATTATCCATTGAGGAGGTATACGACGCCCTGTTCTCAAAAGAGAAGATGGAGTTGTTGGTTGGAGATCCTGTATTTAGGAGTGGGGATGCTCTTGTTACTCATGGTGATCGACGGAGGGGTAGATCGAAGGTGAAGTACAGCAATGTGTATTGTTATTATTGCAAGAGGAAAGGACACATCAAGAAAGATTGCGACAAGTTGCAAGGTAAAAGTGATTTACATGCAAATCATGCGGGGCAATCAAGTAATTCGAACGAGACTAATATTGCTAAAAAAATTTGTGATGATGGAGATGTGATGTTGGCTGTATCTGATGGAGAATCCAAACCTAAGGAGTGGATTCTGGATTCTGCTTATTCGTATCATATGTGTCCCAATAAGGCTTTGTTTCAAACATATGAGACGGTGAAGCAAGGTGGAGTTGTCATGGGAAACAATCAATCTTGCCGGGTTGCAAGAATCAGTCGCGTCAGATTGAGGCTACAGGATGGAACAGTGAGGACACTTGATCAGGTTCGCCATGTTCCAGACTTGACAAAGAATCTCATATCACTGAGTACCTTGAATGAAAAAGTGTACAAATTTTCTGGTGGAGGTGGAGTCTTGAAGGTTCGAAGGGGTTTTCGGGTTGTACTGAAGGAACGGAGGAAATCCCAGTTGTACATCTTGTAGGGGAGTGCAGAACAAGTTCAGAGACATTTGGACAAGTTCAGTACCGTGGTGGGCATTCAATTTGGTACAGTATCTCTCGGGTTTGGCTTTGGGTCGATTAAGAACTTTGCTCAAGGGAGTGTTGGTGATTCCGCTTTGTCACCAATTTTAGCGGGTACACTATGTTCTTGTAATGCCAATGTACTCATGGAGCGTAAGTACAGTTTTGGAGATATCTATAATGCTTTAGAAATCATTGAAGGTGACACTATTGGCCAGGGACCTTCTGATTGTGCATTTGGTGTGATTTCTGCTACAGGGTGTGCTTCGACCCTGTCCAGTGATTGTTAATTCCAAGAGGAATTTTGGGAACCCGGGTTTGGGTTCGGGTGTCGCTTATGGACGCCGGGCGGGGGAACGTGTTATCGTGGAGAGTTTGGTCATTGCATTGAGGAGATTGGTCAGTTCATTCTGATGTAGAAGGATTATTTCTCAAGGTGGAGAAATTTTGGAGCTTCGTTCGTTGCACTGGAATTTGAGTCAAGGTGGAGATTGTTAGAAGTGTGATTCAAATAGGAGTCTAAATTGCATTAGATACCTTTTTTGGGACTCTTTTATGGCTAGATTTTATACTATAAATACAGAGTTTCTCTTTCAGTATTGTTTAAGCCATTATTGTTGTAATTCTCTCATTTCATTGATTGAATAAAATAATATCGTTCCTCTGCCAGTTCTTTTATTTCTTAATCTTGTTCGTGGTTTCTCGTGATCTTGTTAATTACTTCAATTACAACAAGTTGTATTCATTAAATCTCGATTCCTGCATTATTGGTCATCGGTCTCAACACAGAAGTCAAATTCGCTTCACCAAATCTGGTTAATGTTCTTGTTTCTCTCTTGGCTTTATCCCTAGCCAATTCAGAATCAAGATTCTGAGTGTTCAATTTCAGGGCATTTTCTTCCATTTAAGTTTGTTCTTCCTCAATTTGATCATCATTTGTTTGATTTAAATCTAAAAAAATGAGATCAACTATCTCAATTTTTAACCGGACCATCATTACTTACTTATAGAATTTTCTCCTTTAAAGTTTAAACAAAGCATCTCACTCTCATTAAAAGTTACATTTATGCTTATTATGACTCTATAGTCTTTCTTATTTTTAAGCTACGGCCTGTAGCCCTTTACCCCTTTCCCATAGTCCAAGAATGTGCCTTTAATAACTTTTAATTCTAATTTCCCTTCATTCTAATGTGCATAAACAATACATTAAATATTTGATCAACAAGATGATCATTGCATATTTGATCCAAGTTTTTTGTACTCTAGTGATTTACTAGAGCAATTATTAATTAAGTATGATGCAGTCTTAACAACTTCTGTCTACAAAATAATTTTGAACCATGAATTGACTAACATGCATCTAACATTTTCTAATAAAGTCCTGTTTGTTTATTTATTTATTTTGCTAAAGAATTTTGTTGAGTATATGTAACAGTTTTGTGCTTAAGAATCTCTCTCTCTCCCTTTTTTTTTTTTTTTATAGAAATTATCAAATTCTTCATTGCAGAATCCAATGCTATTATAAGAGTCTTTAAGTTCTTATTAACCTGATTTTGAATGGGAGGTCTCGAATTTTTAAATTCAAGCATCGAACTAATTCTTTAGTCAGATAACCCAATTCTTTCTAGAGATATCATCAATTATTATGAAGAAATATTTAAAACCTGAATATATGCACACAATAGTTGGTTCCCACATATCAACATGCAAGTAATCCACTAACAACACGAATTTATGAATTCCGATAGAGAAAGACAATTGTTTTTTATTTTTCCAAAATGCATTATTCACAAAAATGATATTTTCACCAAATATATATATATATATATATATATCAACCCTTAAAACATAAATTACATTGGTCTTTGGTGTATTAATTATTTCAGCAAAATTAATAAGAATAGTAATAATTCAAATTTTTATGATTATTTTGTAACATTCATCAATAAGAATTTCAAGAGAAACTATATTTCTCTTTAAATCTGGTATATATTTGATTTTTTCAAGAATTAGAGTAGGATCATTTCCAAAATTTAAAACCATTTTTTCAATTCCTTTTATTTTGCAAGAAAAATAAATTTCCATAGTTAATCGACCGCCATTAATTTTCAAAAATTCAGGAAAACATTCTTTATAAAAAGACATATCAAGTGCATGCCCTATGTCAAGAATTCACTCATCTTTAACCATTAAATGGCTAGTCATATAGACTTTTTCATTTGTAGTTGCAGCCTCTTCATAAGCTATTGCAACTACATTCTTAGTCTTTTGAGTGTTTTTCATTTCATCTATCTTCTTGAAACAATATTTTTATAAAGAATCCTAATTTTTCACAAAAATGACAACTTTTACCTTTAGCCTTAATTTTTTTTTTTTTTATTTTTTCACTATACAATTTTTTTTTCAAAAGAAAAAATAATAATAAAATATTTGCCTTCGCCAGTGTTTTCTTTATCGAATTTATTATTATTGTTTCCTTTTGAAAGTTCTTTCCTTTAACCATTGAACTAATTTTAGTTGAGGAATCTTTGATTTCATTTTTTAACTTACAATCTTTATTTCTCAATGAAAAAACAATTATATCAACAGTCATACTTTTTTTAGCATATTTTAAAGCATTTTTCGTATCCTTGTATTTTTCAAACAAAAGTACTATATAAAACT